AGGAGCTTTGGGGTCCCAAGCGCCAACGACCGATTCTGTCGCGACCGCTGCTAGTGGCCGCTCCAATGCTTGGTGGGTGTGTAATCTTTGTGGTTTGGAGGTTTTTGCTAATCCCCCCATCAAAGGGCACACTACTACCAGAATCAATCTCCTTATCAATGTGCACCACTTCAAAAAAGAGGACATCCCGGCCTTGCCCAGGGCCAAGAATCCACCAAAGGTCGTGGCGCGGCCTTGCGCAAAAAGAAATGGGTCGGATGTCACACCCTGAACTTGGATGAAAACAGGGGACCTCAAAATAGGATCCTGCTCAAATGTACTAAGTGTAGTTTGAGGTGCCGATGACATGTGGACGGAGGCCTCTCGTATGGCCAAGTCATGGGCGAGTGGATCCCCCTTTCTTGCGGGGGTTGCAACTCGTGCCCGCTGACCCTGACGCGACTTCCACGGCGGTCCTGCCCTGGTGTGATTTCGTGGTCCGCAAGAAGCGCAAAAACGGCCATAGTCAGGCCAAGGCCGATCGCCTGAAATCTGTCCTTGGAGCCCCGAACGCCCCGCTGGGGTTGGCGGACACACCTGGACGAATCCAGGCTGCCAAGCAAGCCACGGATCAAAGGTGGCTACTGCAACATGCTGCTTACATGGCTCGCCGTTGGGTGGGCGCCATATAAGCTCTGAAGTCCACCACTACAGAGACTACGCTGACAAGTTGGGGAAGACCTGGTGTAGAGCCATGCACGTCTGTTTGGCTTGTGGCATTATGCTCCCCAGATGTAATATCCCCAATTCTGTGTGTCGCAAACATACCGGCATTGTGCCTTCGGTTTCGGAACGCCGGAAACTCTGGGCTTCCTGTAAAGATGAGGCCACTGCTAAGCTTAAGGCTGCGAAAAAGGGAACCCGCATCGGCGAAGCCTCTCACCCGGGCCCAGGAGTCAGAGTGACCCAGGCCTTCCTCTTACTATGTGGAGCCAGAACATAAGGTCCTGGCATGCCAATGGCATGGCGTTGCTCAAGCGAGCCGCCAAGGAGGAAGTTGCTTTGCTTGCAATCCAGGAAACAAACGTGACCACTAAGGGTAGCCCTGCTATGTCCCAAATGTGCGCTCGACATGGGTGGCAGCTCGTGCGTGTTCCCATCCTGGGGTCTGAAAGAGGGGGGGTGGGTCTTCTGTGCCGGCAACCCTTTTCCCTCTCGGAAATCCGAAGGACTAGTAACAGGAAAGGGCAGTGCCTTACCACTCTGCTCTCCGATGGCACTCGTAATGTTCACGTCACCTGTGTTTACCGACACCATTCGGATAAGGATTTGGCCACGCTTGCTCAGGCTGCCTTGGAAGCCGAAATGGCTTGAGGGAACTGAGGCTTGGCAAGCGATCGCTTGCTCTGAGAATGAGTGGTCTGAACTGCTGCGAAGTCCTGAGTTGGCTTGGCAAAGCTGGTGCTGGCACGTCGAAGATTGGCTTCGGAGCCAAGGTAGACTGAACGATGTTTCCGCTGAACGGGTTCTGGGCTCAGTTCCCACCCTGCGTACGGGGGTGCCCCGTGCAGGGCCTGGGCAGACCTGTGCCGAAAGGCAGATTCGTCGGCATGCGCGGCGCCTCAAGGAAGCGCTGGTGCTGTCGCGGAAAGGAACCCAGGTGCCTGAGGTTCTTAGGCAAAAACTGGACAGGGATAACCTCCCGCAGGATGAGAGGGCCTTCATTTGCAATGGAGTTGATTTGCAATGGAGTTTGGGGTCAGGCTTTGAACGGGGCGAATGCCCGCCTTCACCAACTCATCAAGTCTAATCGGGATGAGGCTCTTTGTAGATGGAATGCTAAGATCCATATGCTTGCCAACGGGTTAAAAAGGAAGAAGCCCTTCCCGAGCCCTTTGGACTAATGCCGGGACCCTCACTACCAACGCCTTGATTGTCCAGGCTCTTCGGGACTTTTGGGGAGGAACGGGTGTTTCAAAACTTGTTTGGACACCGGCCCCTTCTGGCAAAATTATGCGCAGTACTTGCCTCAGGAGACTGAATGCCCTGTTGTTCAGGACATGATCTGAGACAAGCCTTGGCCCCTATGAGAGGTCGTGCTGCAGGACCGGACAAATGGTCCTGACCCGGCTCTTGTACGCTTGGCTGCTTTCTTGAACGCTTGCGAGGCTTGTGAAGTGTGGCCTCCTGGTCTCACCCAATGGAAAGTTGTTTTCATCCCCAAGAGAAAGCAGCAAGCCGGCCTTGGCGATGTTCGCCCCATTAGCATCGCCTCGGTTATTTGCCGAGCTTGGGGTAGAGCTAGATTAAGACAGCTGGGATCTTTCCTGGCCACCAAGCTTGCTCCTAGACAATCAGGAGGTGTCCGCGGTCCGGATCCGAACACGCTTTTGGTGGGCTTGGACTTGGAGCTGGAAGCCAATAGATACCCTTTCCTGGGGGTGTTTGATTTCCAAAAGGCTTTTGGCAAAATGGATTTTCAGATCATTGTGGAAACTATGACCCGTATGCAGGTCCCCTCTAGGATCGTCGGGCTCCTCCACGCTCAATGGAAATCCCATTTGAAGTGGGTCACCTATGATAACAGCGTGGCCAAGCAACCTTTGAGTTTGAGCAAAGGCTTACCTCAAGGAGACTGTTGGGCGCCCATCGCGCTGAGTGTAGTGCTTAGCTTGCCCCTGAAAAGGTCCCTGCTGCGGGTTCCCAACGCCCCCACGCTTTTATACCTCGATGACCGCACCATCGCGGCCACGAGTCTTCAGGACCTTTCGCAGGCGGTGTCTGTGTGGGATGAGTTTGAGCTTGTTACCCGTCCGTGTGAAAACCAATCAGAGCAAGACCCAATGGTGCGCTCGCACTCATGGGGCTTTGGCCAGTTTCTTGGAAGCCGGGTTCCCGGCCAAAAACTATGCTGAAGTGTTAGGTGTCTCGGTGGGCGTGACGCCCAGAGGCAGCACTCAAGAGGAGGAAGACAGAGATACCAAGGCTGCCAAGGTTGCCGCACGTATCAGTGGCCTCCCTGTTAGCCTTCGTTTCAAGGCCACCTTGGCCACGATCACTTTCGCCGCTATCGCCTCTTGGGGGGGGCTTTTCCACGGTCGGGTTTCCGTTTCCTCGGAGTGCAAGAGATTCACTTCTCGCTTCAGGGAGGCGGTGAAAGGAGGTAAATGCCCTGTGGACCATTCTTCCAGGGATCTTCAACAAGTGTTCCTCCTTGGGCCTTGTTCTGATTTGAATCTTGTGCTTGCGCAATTTCGCCAAAATCCGGGTGTCTTCCTCCCTGCAAATAGGCTTAGAGATTCCCCCCCATGGTCAAACCGGTCAACAAATAGACAAATGGCTTGGATCCAATCGACGAGACGCTGTGATCGCTCGGAACGCTGGCCTTGTGGTCAACGGAGCTCGCTGGCGATGCGACTGGCATTTTGGTGGGTGGCTTGCGCACGGACGCGCAATGGGCGCGCAGGTGTGGTTTGAATGAAGTGCCTTGTGCAGAACATGTGCTGTGGCATTGCCTGGCCTTCGCCGCTTGGCGTTCAAGAGCGCGATCCGCGCGCCACATGATGGCCCGAATGGGTTGGGGGCCTGGTGGCCCGGATGTGGGGCTGCTTCAGCAACTTGGTGAAATTAGGGCTGCGATAACCCGCCGCAGACTGCGGTGGTTGCACCGCTGTTCGGGGGGTCGACCTCCGGAGGCGGCTGCGTGACTGCATGCATGTTAATGACACAAACCGGGCGGTTGCCTGGATATTTTCGAGGGTTTTGAAACCCTGGACTTAGGTCTCTGAACTTAGGTTCTGTTAAGGAACACAGCTCTGGCTTTGCTCCAACGCGCTGCCGCTCCAGAGTCAGGGCGCAGCGGAAAATTAAGCGTCACTTTTTCTCACTTATGCGGATAACTGGCCTCTGGACACTTCACCACCAGACAAGGCAAGTTCCGGGCAATGACCGCCGCTCTTGGTCTCGATCACTTTCGGCTTCGTCTCCTGCTCCTCGTCGGATTGCTCAGTCCTTGACAGGCACTGGTCACGCCGGGCAGATCTTCGATAGGCTTTCAAGGTGGCCTGCGTTGCTCTTCGGCTGCTTGTCCTCTTCGGTGAGTGGCGTCATCATTCCTAATACCGTGCTTGGCTTTCTTTCTTCATGCCGCTCAGGCGCTTCTTCTCCACCGCGGCCTTGCCCTCCCATTCTCCCCAAGCTTGAGCATCCCTTTCTTATGGCTCTTGCTCCACAGCCCTTGCTTATCGCTAACTTGATGTCTTCAGACAACGTTGTGACCCTCCGGCGCTCGAAGCAGCCCCCGTGACGTATTTTCTCGAGAAAAAACGAGCTTGCAGCCTGGCGACCGACGCCATTGGCCCCGCCTTTCCTTGTTCGTCCTGGCGTACTGCGAGGTCGCTCCCGGCTTTCAGTTTGTGGATTGCGGCATTCATAGATACATTACAAGCGTACGACGTGGCTGACTCTCATCCGACTCCAAGGCTGCAACAGCGCTACTAATTTGTGTGGTTAGCATAGGACATCTGCCCGGTTTGGTCAGTTCTGCCTGGTCTTGCTTTCTCCAATTACACGGCCATCCGTCTCATGGACTCGGTCGTCCGAGACAGACGGTCCAGCTGCGGGCGCCTGTAGTTCTGCCTGCCCAACACTGTGACGGATCCTTTGAAGCTTTCTAATCGTGAACAGCCTGCACACAAGCCGCTCCCAGTTCTCCACTGCCGTCTCAAAGAACTGTGTGGCAAACACCTGTCCCATACGCCCCTCAAACCAGAGGCTCTGATTGAATATTTTGCAGCAACACACACATTTCTTGAGCCAAAATGGGAGTCGCAGTGAAACATGAGGCTCATGTTCACCCAAACGGATCTAATCATGTGACATAAACTGCACACCCTTTCGCGCACTCCTGGAGCCTCTATTCTGTGCACGCACCAGAGGCGCGTCATAACGCCGCCCCAAAAATGAGGATTGACAAACTGTTGGGGGGCACAGCAAAGCCTGGCTCTCTTCTGGCATGAGGCTGCGATTCTTGGTGGTGAAGTCATATTTTGGGAGCGCTTTCCAGTGATCGCCTGCGCAAGAAGACAGGGCCCACAAAACATGTCGAAGGTTTCTGCCTGGGATGTCTCCCTGAAATGCTCCCACGCGGGGTCCCCCACCGCGGCGCTTGTCTGCCAAGGACCTCAAAAAGGTAGAAAGAAACTGCGCCGAAAACTAAGAACAGGCCCTGCCCTGTGGTAAATGCAAAGGTTGCACCCGTGCAGCCCTACACACACAGGGATAAGGTCTTGGCAACTCAATGTCCTCCATGTTGGTGTTTCGGTACTCCCGAGGATCCAAGCAGATATGCAACTCCTCGAGCAAGGCGCAATAAATTCTATGGCTCATTTGGTGTAGCATACGCGTGAGCCCTCTGTGCCATCATTGCTGCGATGTCCTGTCCTTGCTGGGGTCAAGCAACGCTGCTCGAAAAGAAAAGGCGCCGCCACAGCAACCAGTGGAATGATAGTGCTGCAAAATGTAGCCTGAATTCCGAGCGGCTCACAAAGAACCCTGCTAATTCAACAGACTTCTCGCGTCCTCCGAAAGCGCAAAGCTTTCGCCTCCGAGAGCTCTGCCAACCACTTGCAACGAGAGCTACTTCTTCAGAGAATTGCAACGACCAGGCAAGATCCAACTTTATGACGCTGATGGCCGGGAGAAACGCACAACTTGCGTTTGGATGGTAAAAGCGGTATCAAATTACACTCAAGCACCCTATCAAACTTGTACACATGATTTTGTTACTGCCTACAGAAAGAATACTCTGCCAAAATGGTAACATTGTTGTAAACCACAACGGCTCGCCGTTAAACACAGTGTGGTCCAAATGAAGCACACATCAACGAGTGTTGGAGCCGGTGTTCGAACAACATGCGCCTGCTCAAATATTTCCGGATTCATGTTACAAGAAAACCCTTTCCTCTCACCCGACCTGGCTACGAAGTTCTATCTCTAAATGCTCTCAGAGCGCTGTCTCCCACGCATGCACACCATGCTGGTCCCATCAACCAAGCTGTTTGATGCTCGATGGCAACATTTGGCTTTGTATCACGCCGTGATCTCTTGCCAGGGATCTCCTTCCAGGCAATGAACACACTCAGTTGTGAAGCCGTGAGGCTTGGGCAGCAAGCAGGTCGGCTCATGTCGGATCGAGCGACTAATCTGTGGACACCTGAGATGTAGTGGCTGCGGTGGCCATACGCTGAACCAAAGCGCAAACGAACGCAAGGCGCGCCCTTCCCAAAAGGGTTGATCGATGGCACTGACAGCGAGCAGGCTCATAGCAGTTCACCCGTGTTGGCAAAATTGGCTGAACAAAACAGCTTGCAAGTGTGGTTGGTGCGCGGTGCTTGCTGCCACAGAATATCCGGCATCGTCCTTGTAACGCCCAGGCAACTGCAAAATGACGGGCTAGAACCTGGAACCTTCTTGATTGTGGGCTGATTTTGGGAAGAATTGTGTGTCTTCATTTTCCGAGCAGCAGCAACAACAACAACCAAAGCAACTACAGCCACGTGTGACGCATAAAGCCGATCATGCCAAACGCCGAAAACCCTTTGGAACAATGAAGCACACAAATGAATCCAGACTATCGTCATCATACAGCATCGTGCGGAATATCAACTAACAAAAAAGACAAACAAATAACACAAAAGTCATCCCAGCGCACATATGCCAAACATCGCATGCCTTGATGTGACGTCAAATCATTGCAAATCACAAGCGCTGCATACTCAGCCAACCTCACTTGGTTTCAATGCAAAGAGGATTGGCGAGCAATGAAAAAGGCGATCTTCAGCGTCCAAACACCCAGCTGCTCTCTGTTGCAGCGCAATTCGAAACCAACCAAAGTATAGTAACCTGCTAGATAGGAGTGACACACGGCTCCAAAAAAGTGAACTTGCTTGCGGCCTGCTCATCTTTCTGCGGCGCGTGGCGACTTGCCCTGGCGTACATATGCGTGTTGTGTTGCATCATGCCGAGCCTGGGCTTCCAAACCCAAAAACGAAAAACAACTTGAATATATGGCTGTTTTTGTTTGGAGTTTTGGCTGCAGAACAACCTGGGCTTTCCGGGGTCTCAATTTTCCAAATTTACAGAAAAGCAAATCCATAATTTCGGTCAAAACCAGCTATTGCAAACCCGTGCAAGGTCACACGGAAATGTCAGAGGGTGGGTGGGGGGTCCGAGGGGCGCGGGCTGGCGTGGCCTCGGAGGTGGGGGGTTGTGAGTGGTGTGGAGCAAATATAAAGTGACGTGAAATGAAGGGAAAGGAAGGGAAGTCATGAATATGCGGGGAAATGAAATGAAGCAAAATGAAAAGGGACGTGGCTGGAAATATATGCACTGCAGGGAGCAAAGGGAAATCCAAGAAAACAAAGCGACATAAATGAAAGGACATGAAATAAAGGAAAACAACAATGGACATGAATGGAAATGAATGGACATGAAATGGGAGATGAAATCGGAAATGAGGGGAAGTGAAGGAAATGAGGGGAAAGAAAGGAACATGCAAGAAAATACAGTACAATGACACGAAGGAAGGGAAATGACGGGAAGTGAAGGGTAGGGTTCCCGATGGCCGGCGACTAAACCATATGTTGATCCAGTAGTTACATCACCATCATTTCAATTGTATACATTGTTTTGACTATCAATTACTATGATTGCCATTCTTTGATGGCGAAACAGCGTATATTCTCACAACTATTATTGTGGATTGAGGTGATCTTCAACCGCACTCCTCAGGCTTGGCAGGCCATCATAACGTTTGTCATATAGAGCCAAAACGTGTGCTTTCTTTACCCCTTGACTCTATAGAAAGCTACAGCAGCTCTCAATGGTGTTCTTTTCTGATCGAGCTCAGCATCTTGAACAGGAAATCTTACAGATGGCGAGTATCGCCACCTCAGCAACGCCAATGCCTTTGGCGGCGTTCTGGACGTTCTGAACAAGTGAAACCACTGTGACTGTCACAAACCCACTTTTCAATCCATCGCCTTGCCCATGCGCTTGACCAGGGCACGTATTGCTCGCTGCGTTAAAGCTGCACGCATGGGGATGTGCCAACCACACCGCCGATCATGGTGTCCGCTGCAATTTCAATGCTGCAGGAGGATCCTGTCGGAAAGCGCTTGCTCCACAAATTCAAAGAAAGGGCACCTCCACAGAAGCCTTCTGCAGCTTCTGCTGCCCATCCATCAGCACTGAGAGCTTCATCTGCTCCACCATTGAACTGTCCCTGAGCTGCCCACACGAACAGCGTGGCTGGAGCTTGATATTCTATGGTCCATGTGCCCGCTGTTGGCCAACACTTGCTGCCGATGTACGTGCCACCTAGAAGTACTGCAGGTACGTTCTGGAAAGTATAGTCCTTGTCCGGGTACAAGGCAATACCCTCTTCCATAGTACGTGCAGGGTACCAATCAATGAATAACCCCGAGCAACCAGTTACTGTTCTTCCTGCATCTTGATCCTCAGGATTGCCAAACACCTGAAACTCCAACAAGGCCACCAGTGGAGTCATTTCCAGATTCAGACATGTCCAAATCTGGCCAAGTGTTTACATAATGGGCTTCCTTTCCCTATTATATGCGCGTTTCTCGAACATGCACTTTCTACGCCGCGCACTTAGTCTCCCTTTTGAACTGTCGTTAGATGATAAGGCCTGCGCAGGTACAAGCTACGAAATCATCCACGCTTCACCAAACCCACGCGAGCAGTCCTGATCATTTGCGTCTTCTACTGGTCCTTCCTCTTGCTCATCTTCATCCTCTTCTACAATCTGGTTGTGAAAGTCGCCACGCTTTGCTGGCATCTGACAATTCATGACTTTCAATTGTCCCATAACATAGAGCCAATCCTCAAAATCCATCCAAAAGCTGCCCTCAGTTTGAAAATCCACGTTCAGCGCTTCAGCAACTGATGGGTTGGCCTTCCAGGCAGAGTTACGATCACTCCAAGGTCCGTTCCATTCAACTTCATTGCCCCAGGGGTTTCTGCAGCAAACCATCCTGACGCCCTCAATCTCGAGTGCGTGCAAAAAGCTGTAGGCATGGCCCTGGACGATGCCAGATGAAGTCTCCATGGCAGAGGTGGAGGCCGACGATGCCATGAGGTAGTTGCCTTTGTCGTAGTCCAAAAGCCTTTGCCACATCTCTTCTGGCTCCACAAAACTTGTGGAATGCTTTTTGAAGATGGTCTCAAGGACGTCTTTGTCGCTTCCCGAAGCACCACAGGCTTTCATTGCCTGGTTTCAACTCTTCAATGATCTTCTATACCAAAGGACCCCAAACAACAGCTGCAATTGAGAAATCCCAACATATTCCAATCAAACTGCTGACTCCAAGATCCTATTGAAACCTGAGCAGTCATTCAACCCTGTATCCGCAAAACGCTCAGTGCAACTCTGATTCCTTTGAATATCTAGATACCGCATGCCTTAGCTCACAGTGTGGCACCTAACTGAGGGTAGAACCTCCTCAGGAACAATGCCCACGTTGGATTGCATGATGCAAATGTCGTTGGCAGCAGTGCGCTTTGCTGCTCGCTTGCCATTGCTATAGTATTTCAGCCATCCCTCATCCGGCCCATCGCCATCGATCTTTTTGAATTGAATCCATTCTCCAATCCTGAAGGGCAGATTCAGGATCAAAAACCAAAGCAGGTGAGCAGTTTCAGGATGGCTTCTCAGTACAGTTGAATCTCGCTTTCGTGAGGGCAACCCATGGTACGCTTTCTGGGTGTTCAAACATTCCTCCATGGGAACAGGTGTAGGTACACGTGAAATGTCAAGTGCCCCCACCCTGTGTTTGTTTTCCCATCCCAAATCCTCCACGTTTCGGTGAAGTGAGCACCTTCACCTAGCTGACCTACGCGCTGCCGGGATTTGTCATAGTCCCAGTAATCAGCGACCACAGGAATGCCATCACCCGCAACCACGACCCACTTCGGAGCTGCTGCAAGGTATGTAGTGCTGTAATAGAAGACTTCTTTGCAGCTGGTCGTGTGAAACCAGGCGATCTCTGGAAAGCCAGCGTCCAGGGCAGACCAATTGCCATACAGTTTGGCAAAGGCCTTTTCAAGGAGCGCCATGCACATCTTTCCATCGGGCATCTGCCCAAACAACAAGTCTGGCTGGTCCCCACCCGCTGTTGTACATGGTAAGTAGTCATCGATTTGGATGATTTGCCATTGATTCGTGCGACCATCAAACAGCTTGACTTGGTACTTGCCACTCTTGGAAATACTCTTGTTGACAAAGATATTGTTCTTGATGTAAGCTGGGAATTCGGCTAAGGCAGACAAAGCTGACACGAGCCAACAGTTGCCAACAGCCCCTTGGCAAGCATCTGCGGGCTCTACATCCACAAAGAGAGCCGGATGAGGATGAAGAGACAAGGCTCTGAGCCATCGACAATCTTTGTATTTGCTGGCGGCTGCTGCACCGATCGAGTCATTGTTGTGGGGGAAGTCAGGATCTTTCCATCCATCCTCGACAGCTTTGACCTTCAAGCCAAATTTAAATCCCTTGGGCACGTCATCACCGTCCAACCCCACCACCGCCATCTTCCCACCATGAGCCTCATCTATCCAAAGAGCCATGTCTGGGGAATACACATCCGTAGGTCTTGACGTATATAAAGAGGGCTTTCCCAAGACACAGGATTCTCCAATCTTCCACATGCCCTTTGGCTCCTCATAGAAAAGGAAACGCTCGGATCTTTGGTGGTATACCGTTCGGTTGCCCAGGACATACGACATCTGTTTGAAGACGTCTTTTCCGTCAAGCATGATTGCCTGAGGTGCCTTTGCTCGCTCTTCTTCTGGTGTCAAGGGCGGTTCTGCAGTGCATTTCATCTGCGACTCTTTCACAAAGGCCTTCTTTCCACCTGAGAGATGGTCGCTTCGCTCGTACTCTTTTGGTGTCGCGTCATGGACTGAAAAGTTTCAATCCGAAAGAAAGAGAAATCTTCAAAAAGAGAGCCCTGAAGCTGCCAGGCTGGATCTGAGGAATAAAACGGTTTCAGCGAATTGAACACTGTCCCAGTGAACAATACATTCAAGCCGAATCAAGCCCAACAAAGGACACCCGCTTTTGTTTAACAAGACCAGAGTTGGAAAGGCTTGCGCATATGATGGCATTGCAGTGATGCCCCCATGTTCCAATGAATTCCAGCCCGCACAGCGTCACATGTATGAAGGATTGAATAGCTTGGTCGTCCTCTACAGTACATTTCTTTGAGCAACAACACATGGCTAACAATGCATTTTGCTTTAACTGGCGCCTTTGGGTGCAAAGTGGAATCCTTGAGAATCGGTTGAGCAACAAGCATGGCCAAAAGAAGTCTTGGAGGGCCATGTCAGAATAGCAGCCATGTGGAGAAGGGGATTTGATGCGGAGAACTATCAGCATCACTTTTTGTTTTTTGTCTCACCCACCAAATCGGTTGCCTTCCTTGCTTGGGTAGAACTCAAAAGATGTTTTGTAGGGTTAACCCGTCTACAGAGACCAAGCAGAGCGGCCAACTCCAAACTGCTGACATTGCGAGAACGGGCATCGGTTCTAAATGTGAGAATGCTGTTGGTGAGAGTTCGTGTCTGACGTCAAGAACATACTTTCATGTGATGTTCTGGGAGATGTGTCTGGCGAGGCAATACTCTCGGCGCGCTCTTAGGGTCTGGCCGCGCTTGTTTGATTGCCAAATCTTTGAATGAACTGCTTTCGATCTCCACCAAACCGCCATGCAAAGCCTACACGTCAAGGAAGCTGGGCCAAAAGTACGCTTCAGCCTCCTCAGGAAGAACTTCACAGAAACAGGTGGAAGAAGAAGAAGGAGAAGCTTCTTGGAGGAGGAACCACCCGACACAAATTCTTGACGACTTTCTGAAGCCGAGCATTGCGTTGATCTTGCCATTCATTTTGGGTGTGTTTTTTCTTTCAGGGTGCCCTTTTTTCACCTGGGTTCAAAGGGACCACGGAAACCAAAGGGAGAACCACCAGTTTCGGGTCCCACATATCCATGCGAGGAGTTGCGTAGCTTGCCTGGCCCCTCCCCAACACCCACCCCAGGGCCGCCACAAGCCTGGATTGGCTTAGACCCCATAGCTGCCGCTCTCAGGGAAAGGCCCAAGAACCTTCTTGCCAATTCTACGATTTGCCCAGATTCTTCAGAACAAAACCCTCCAGAGATGTACCATTCTGAGAAACGCTGTGTTTTCCCACATATCAGAATTGCAGCACACTGGTTTTGTGAAGCGTTCTAAACATGTTTGGTCAGTGCACAAGGCTGATAGCCTTCTTCAACAAGCATAGCTTCTACCTGGGGCTTAAGCCTGCGCACAAGCGCATGTCATCTGCCAAGCGACTCCTCTTGGATTTCCAAACAGCCCACATTGCTCCGTCTCCAGGCATGTGAGCTGCCCGAAAGGTTTTCAAGCGGGCAGAGGCGAAGGTTCCGGTTCTAGAAAAGATCTGCCACTGCTGCCTGTCGAAACTTCTCCGCATGTAGCCAATCCGACATACCCGATGTGTCATGCTTTCTCACTTCAAGTTTGGCAATGGCCAAATGCTCGCTTGTTTTGCAAAGATATCCAGAGCTTGCTTCGAGGTCTGTGTGCATTTATGTTCAACCCAATGTGTGTGCGTTCATGAGCTGTCAAAAAGGGTGACGTCCTCTTCAACGCAACGTCGTGCGCAAGAAGGTGGGTGACATCAACATCAATTTCTGTTGGCTTCGTGACCACCACACCAATGACAATACTGATAATGAGTTTCTAGCCCCTGCGCTGGTTAGGCGGTGGGGTTGGTGTTAGTGGTCCTGCCCATAGATTCCGGTGGTAAAACAGTAAAACGGTTTTGCCGTTCCGTCTATCGATCTATCTATGTACCTATCTATCTATCTATCTATCTACCGACCCAAATCTTTCTACCTATCTACCTATCTACAAATATCTCTATCTTACCCTACCTCATCCTGTCTTATGCCATCTCATCCTATCTTTACCCTATCTTGTCCTATCTTATCCAGTCATATCCTCTCTTGTCGTATCTTAGCATGTTATCCCACCTTATACTGCTTTGTTCTACATGTTCTTACCTTTTCCTATCGTATCCTATGTATCTATCTATGTATCTACCAACCTACCTATGTAACCTACGCGTCCTATCTATCTTATCTATCCTATCATTCTTATGTATCTCATTGTAGCTATCTTTCTTGTTTTGTTTTATCTTAGCTATCTGATCTATCATGTGTCTTTTCTATCTTATCTATCTTGTCTATCGTGTCTATCGTATCTATCGTATCTACCTTGTCTATGTCTTTTCTGATCACATACCAGGTATAATTCAGCAGAGCTGGAGGCGGCCGTTTCTAACACATAATACAAATAATGTGCCTATAGGATATGAGTTGTGCTCGTGGAGCATCTCTGCGCTTCTTTCTCTAAGCATCTCCTGTCTTTTCTTCTCGTTATCTTCCTCTTCCTCTTTTTCTTTCTCTTGCTCTTCCTCGTTTGTTCTTCTGTTGTTTTTCTTTCGCTCTTTCTCTTTCTCTTCCTCTTTTCGTCTTCCTCTTTTCGTCTTCCTCTTTCTCCCTCTTTCTCTCTCTCTCTCTCTCTCTTTCTTTTTCTTTGAATGTCTTTCTCTTTCTTTCTCTTTCTCTGCCTCTTTCTCTTGTCTTCTCTTCTCTTTCTCTTTCTTTTCCTATTTGTATATTGCGCCTGCCACGAAATCTGCACTTGACCTTGTGAAAGTGCTGCGCGTGCGCACGAGATCTGTACTTGACCTTGCGAAAGTGAGGCGCCTGCCACGAACTCTGCGCCTCAAAGTGCGAAAATCGTGCGCCTGCCACGAAATCAGCACGCGGCAGTTCGCACGTCCACTACAATGCGATTCCCCAACCTCGCGACTCTATGTCCCAAAGCGCTGCGCCTGTCACGAGTTATGATGCCATATGATGCCCATGAGAACAAAATGCTGTGCCACGAGGTCTGCCCTTTAGGTTGCCGAAGTTGAAGTGCGCCTGCCACACAATTCAATAGCGAGAAATTTGCGCGGACTCTCCGACCCGGCGACTCCGCGACCCCGCGTCACATGTGGGTAACTCCACTTTTTGTACTATGGAAGCTTCTTATTAAACTTCCTTTGATCCTGTCTTATCATGTCTTAACGCATCTTATCCGGCTTTATCCTATCTTATCCCATCGTATCCCATCGTATCCTATTTTGTCCCACGTCATCCTATATTGTCCAGTCTTACCCTATCTTATCCTGTCTATATCTAGACCTATATCTATCTTATCCTATCTTATCCTATCTTATCCTAGTTTATCCTATCATGTCCTGCCTTATGCTGTATTATCCTGTCTTATCCGATCTTATCCTATCTTTTCCTCTCCTATCCTATCATGAAAAACAGCTGGGTAAAAGGTTGCACAGAACCGACCAGGAATCAACCCCTAGAAAGAGTATCATGTTGCGCGCTGAAAGAACGGACAACCGGTTTTACCGTAAAATGGTAAAACGGTAAAGCGGATTTATTGTGTAATGGTAAAGCGGTAACACCGTCGGTTTTAGTGTTTACCAACAATATGTGAAGCGAGCCCATTGGCAACAACCCGCTTTTTTTGGTAAAACGTAAAACAGTGCAACGGTTTTGCTGCTTTGCGGCTTTACTTCTTTTTCCGAAAAACTGAGAAGCGGACCTGTTAGCACTCACCCCGCTGCTAAGCCAGCTTAGAGTTTCTATATGCAACTTGTCTAAATCAATCCACTGCTGCTCGGCGCCTCTTGCCGTGGTAGAACAAATAGCGCTCATTCTCACGACAATGGAATATTGGCCTGCGGTAGTAGAACTCCTTCTGTTGTACATAGTCGCCGTCAAGCTCTGGTCTGGAGCAGCCCGACACCCGCAACCTGAATTTGCCCGTGGCACCAGCCGAGATGGTCTGTTCTTCAGCAAAGATCCATTTCACGAACTCCTCCAACACCGAAGGGGGTCAAACCGCTTGAACACTTAGACTGCCTGTACCCTCCCAGCCCCATGATCCTGGGCGTTTGGTCGTGATGTATGGTGAGTTCGGCCATCTGTCCATGAACTGATTCTATCCTAAGGCCGCGTTTTTCCCCTTGTGGGTCCTCCACCTGCAATTGCCCGTCACCACTGGAATCCGCAGCTGCCAGCAACTGGTCAATGGAGTCATCATCCCACTCGGAGCTCTTCAGCCCCCGCAGCACCTGAAGAATTCAACAAGTTGAAGCAAGCTTCTGAAATAGTGACAGCTTGTCAACAAACACATTCAGCGTGCAAGACCAAAGAAGTGAGCTACTGAAATGCGAAAGTAAAGCTTGAGCTTCTGTGTATCAACTGTGTTCGAAGCATTGCGCCCCTTTGCATTCATGTTTGCTCCACTCTTCTTCTCTCGCCACTCTCAGCCCGCACCTGACTGAGCTCGTCCCGCGTGATGGATCCAGACCCATCTTTGTCAAAGCGCTGAAAAGCCTTGAGCACCGTCTGATCAGCCGGCATGGCTTGGAGCTGTTGCGCTCCACAGTTGTGCTAAGCCTGTGTTGGGGCTTTGCTTCAAGGCAGCTTCTTGCTGCCTTTTTGAGCCAGCGGTCAAGCACTCACAACTTCAAACTCGAAGGGAATTCGAAAGGTCGTCGCTGACACATTGTTGCTGCTATCACGGCGTATGAAACTCCGAGAATGGCGAAGGAAATGCCATTCTCGGGAACATGCTCTTCTTTGTTCCGCCAAGTCCAGCCCAAATGATGTGCAAGCAGAGGCATAAATGCAATTAGGTTCCCTGCGTGCCGGTGCCTTGGTATTGGATGGTCTGCTTGGCAATTGCCAAACAGCCACGTTGATGACAAGAAGTGCCCCAGTGCTCCGACTCACAAACCAAACACCAATGCTTTCAGCAATGGTGTTCACAGGTGAAATCTTAGAGAAACTTCAAACATCGCTGCATTCCGAGATCACGCCGCCTATCATGAGATCGTTGGTGCGAATGCTGTAGGAGGAACCGGTCGCAAAGTGTCTGCTCCACAAATTCAGCGGAAGTCCACTACCAAATCCATCCAAACCAAGCGCGACATTCGAGAAATCGGCTGCATCTTCTGAAACCCAACCATCGGCTTTGAGTGCCTCGTCAACTCCTGCATTGTACGTGCCTTGCTGAGCCCACACATATAGGGTGGTGGGAGGCTCATACTCAATGGTCCACGTGCCTGCTGAGGGCCACCCCTGGCTGCCAATGTATGAACCACTGGCCAAACAAGCTGGCACTTCTTGGAAAGTGTAGTCTTTGTCAGTGTAAATGAGAATGCCCTCCGCCATTCCTCTTGGCGGGTTCCATCCAACACGCAGACCTGAGCAAGCCGTGACTCTTCCACTGCACTCCAGTGGTTTACCCACCACACCACCACACATGAGACCGTTGGTCTGAATCTTGTAGGCGGATCCCGTTGTGAAGTGCCTGCTCCACAAATTCAAATCAAGCCCACCACCCGAGAAGCCCTCTGCAGCTTCAGCAGCCCAACCGTTGGCACACAGCGCTTCATCTACTCCACCGTTGTACTCACCCTTTGCGACCCACACGTATAGCTTGGCTGGAGCTTGATATTCTATGGTCCATGTCCCTGCTGTTGGCCAAAGGTGGCTGCCAATGTATGCGCCACCGAGGAGTTGGTCAGGAACGTTCTGAAATTTGTAGGCTTTTTCCGGATACAAAAGAACGCCCTCTTCCAGAACCAGTGCAGGTCGCCAGTCCACGCCACAGCCTGAGCAACCAGTCACCGCTGCACTTGATTCTGGAGGTGCGACCGGCACGCATGGGGCGCAGCGAGCTGTGCCAACCACACCGCCGATCATGGTGTCCGCTGTAATCTCAATGCTGTAGGAGGAGCCTGTCGTGAACTGCTTACTCCACAAATTCAAAGAAAGGGCACCTCCACAGAAGCCTTCTGCAGCTTCTGCTGTCCAACCATCAGCATTGAGCGCTTCATCTACTCCACCATTGAACTGTCCCTGAGTTGCCCACACGTACAGCATGGCTGGAGCTTTGTATTCAATGGTCCACGTGCCTGCTTTTGGCCAGCATTTGCTGCCAATGTACGTGCCACCTAGAAGCCCATCAGGAATGTTCTTGAACGTATAGTCTTTCTCTGGGTACAAGAGCATACCCTCTTCCATAGTACGTGCTGGGTGCCAACCAATGCTCAAGCCCGAGCAACCTGTCACTGGCGTTCCTCCTTCTTCCTCAGGGGTTCAACTTACAACCACACCACAGGAAGCACCAACGCCAACGCAAGCACCAAACATCGTTCACTGCTCGTGTTACAAGGCTGGTCTGGCCTGGTCCTCTTCCTCTACATCCTGCACGTCTTCCTCCTGCTCGTCTTCATCCTCTTCTACGATCTGATTGTGAAAGTCTCCTCTTCTTGATGGCATCTGGCAATTCATCACCTTGAGCTGTCCCATGACATAGAGCCAATCCTCAAAGTCCATCCAGAAAGTTCCTTCGGTTTGGAAATCCACGTTCAATGCTTCGGCAATTTTAGGGTTCGCCTTCCATTCGGAGCTTCGGTCACTCCAAGGTCCATTCCATTCGGATTCATTGCCCCACGGGTTTCTGCAGCAAACCAGCCTCAGACCATCGATCTCGACAACGTGCAAAACACTGTAGGCATGACCATGGACCATCCCAGAATCTCTTTCAATTCTGGATTTGGAGGCTGATGATGCCATAAGATAGTTGCCTTTGTCGTATTCCATGAGAAGTTGCCACATGTCCTCGATCTCGACATACTTCTTAAACTTGTACTTGAAGGCTTTTTTTGTCCGCGTCTTGTCCCCTCCAGAGCAAATGGCTCCCATCGCCTCGTTTGCATCTGCACCCGCCCAGCATGTCTCATATGCAAGTTCCTTTGCTGTGCAATGCTGCTGGATATTGGCGAAAGCACTCGACTAGTATGGAGACAAAATGCGTATGCACTTATATGCTCGCACCAAGAACCAAACCAACACCGATACAATACCGACAAGCCACGCCGACTGAGAATCAAACACTGCAAAGGGGCCCGCGCAAGAGCCTCACAAAGCAACGCCACGGCGAATTTCCCAAAGCTTCCCCCAGCACTGCGGGTTTTGTCACATGTACCCGAAATCTCTCTTGACGTTTCTATTGTCTGATGGATCATGGACGTTCTATGGATACCTAGCTGATTCCGCAGAGCGTCCAATCTTGCTCAGAACAGCGTACCAGCACACGTCTGGAAGACCATCGCGTCACCAGCAAACACCGGGTCGCCATCAGGACACTGCCTGAGACACTCTCAGGAGACCACGAGGAGCAGCTAATGGAGCAGCACAGGGACATCGCAGGCCGACACAGGCGCGACACTAACCAGGACACCACAGGATCACAAGCGCCACTAGCGAGACTGCACCGGGACACCTTCTTCAACGCTGGGACACTGCCAGACCGCACCAAGACACCACCGGGATGCAGTGAGACACCACCAGGGCACTACCATCAAAACTGCGGCGACCAGTAAAACAAAGGACCGGAACAGGGACAACACAGGGAGACTAACGGGACACCAACGGGACACCAAAGGGACACCGCTGACAAAGCAATCAAAACACGCGGGAGCCAGTCGCCATAACATAACCTAACCGGAGCAGCAAGTGGAACAGCGCAAAGACACCACTGGGACAGCAATCGGCACACCGGGATACCAGCGAAAACATCAACTGGGCACAGCACCGCACCAAAATGCTACAGTAGACGTTCTTACCGGGACCCAAGCCGAACAGCACAGGGACAGTGCCAGGACACTGCCATTACACTGCATTGGGAACCAGAATTGCGCAGAACAGCGGCCGTAACACCGAGATGGCAACTAGAACACCACTACTGGGACAGCAAACCGAGGGCACCACCAACCAGAACATCAACTGGCAACACCTGCGCACAAACGCGACCTGCCCTGCAGAATTCCATGAATCCCTGCTGGGAAACACTATTGATGATGCTCGCACTTCTTTGGACATGCTAGGCGTTCAACAAGGGACCGCTCCGGACATAAACTATCATCCAACATGGGTGCCTTTGGAGTTGGTCGCTGGAATGGGTGGTGAGGTTTTCTTTGATGTGGATGATTGAAATATGTTGGACTTTGGTGATGGGTATATTTGTTGCATTTCGAATTTTGCAATTTTGAGTATTGATATATTTTAATGACTCTGATGGTTGATAGTTGTATTCTTACTCAGATAAAGTGTCACAAGGTCAAAACGACAATCTTGAGGTTCTATCACCGCGCGGCCATGCCGCGAAAGTTTCTTACCCGTGCCCTATTCTCAGCTCAAAGGGGGGCCCTCCATGTAACAAGGCTGCCCAACGCTCTTGATCGGCCAATGTGACTCATCAAGCACCAACACAACACCAAAACAACGTTGGACAGCTAAATTGGTAGGGCAAAATCACACGGCTCTGCGTCTACGAAAAGTGAAGTCCGATCAGCTTCCTCCCAAATGTCAGGGAGTTCAGCCAAATGCAGGTTGAATTTCTGGTCCAGTTGAGCCTTCCCTTTACGAAGCTTCTGGGATCCTTGCGTGCGGATATGCACTCATTGTTGAACCGCAAATCAAAGTTGTCCTTTCGTGACACAAAGTTGCCTTCGTCAATGAATTTAGCTGGCGAAAAGAGCCCGAAGCTCTAAAGTAGGCAAATGCGCTCTGACCACTATCGGAACACCAGCAACAGGAACTCACTACACCAGCTGGACACCAGCAGCATTCGGCGCAGCACCTGGACACCACTGAGACAGCAACTGGCACACCACCCACATCGACACCAGCAAAACCATAACCAAAATGACAGCACCAGCAGCACAACACGGGACACGCTGGGACACCAACCGGGACACCATCGGAACACCTACACGTTTGGGACAGTTCAATGGGACGCCGCCGAGGGTACCACCGGGACGCCCGGCACACCACCAAAGCCTATAACACAACCACCCACATACCACCGGGGCACATCCGGGACACAACCAGAACACAACAGGGACATCTCTTGGACACCACAAGAAAGACCCGGAACGCGTCCACCTGGACAATACGACCCGGGCATCGCAGGACCACCACCATCCACCATGACACCGAATCAGCGCCAGGACACCACGACCGGAACACCCACAAACACTACCCACAAGAAGACAGGGCAAATCACCCACACCATCAGAACACAACGACGGGGACATCACAAGAACACCACTCGGACAGCGCCGGGAAGTACAGCCGGGACACGGGACACCAGGACACCACTGGGACATCACCACCAGGACAACACCGGAACACCTCCGAGACAGCGAAACACCAACGCAACTCACCGGGTCACCACTGGGGACACCACCTGGGCACCACTGGGACACCGACTTAATGTGCCAAAAATGCAAGCAAGAAAGCGCGCCTCTCTCCCTCTCTCTGCTGAACAATGGCCCATCAGTTCGCTCAAGCTTCGCGCCTCCTCTGGCACCACCGCAGCGTTGATGAGCATGATGCGTAGCTCATTTGCAGCGGTCCGAGTTGCCAGGCGCCGGCCATTCCCGTAGTATCGCATCCATCCAGATGCAGCTCCTTCACCGTCAAGCTTCTTGAATTCCATCCAGGGTCCAATCCTGACACTTGCTCAAAGATTCGGCTTGTTCCATTAAGTGGGACCTTCCTGCTTGGAAGCAAAGCACACGCAAATACATGTTTGAACATGTTCAATGCACGTCCTCTGCTTCTCCACAAAGTGAGCACCTTCTCCAAGCTGGCCGATTTTCTTCTTGGCTTTGTCTTTGGAATGCCCGCCAAAAACCGGAATTCCGCTACTTTCAGTGACCACCCACTTCGGTGCTGATCCACGGTAGGATGCACTGTAGCACATAAATTCTGTGCAGCTGGTCATGTGAAACCAAGCTACGGCTTGATAGCCACCTGTGAGGGCAGACCAGCTTCCATACATCTTGGCGAAAGCTTTTTCAAGTAGCGCCATACACATCTTTCCATCT